TGGAGTTGTACAATAAACAATGTGACCAGAAATAACATTTAAAAAAAAAAATTTTTAGGTATTCTTTTTAAAAAATTTTCATGTTTTTTCATTATTTTTTACAAAATATCCATATTTTTTATATTTTTACAATATTTTTTACACTTTCGAACAACATTTAAAATTTTTTCAAACTTTTTCAAATTTTTTTTCAAAAGATATATATATATATATATATATATATATATTACATTTTTACAATATTTTACAATATTTTTGCATTTTTGAATGATATTCAAAATTTTTCAGATTTTTTTCAAAATTATTTTCAGATTCTTTTGTTTAAAATTTTTTTCAAGATATGTATATTTTTTACATTTTTACAGTATTTTACATTTCTGAAGAACATGCAAATTTTTTTTTTCTTTTTCTTTCAATACTTTTTTGAAAATGTGTATATTTTTATGTTTACAATATTTTACAATATTTTTACATTTTTAAACGACATTCAAAGTTTTTTCATATTTTTTAAATTTTGTTTTCAAAATATGTATATTTTTACATTTTTGCAATATTTTACAATATTTTTTTACATTTCTGAACAGTATTCAATAATTTTTCATATTACTACAGATTAAATAATCCAAACCCCGAATATTAAAAAAAAATAGTTTTTTTTTTTTTTAATTAAATATCATATATGATAATACGAGGCACGACTTTGCTATCGATGTGGGACTTTACATTGGTACAAATATTGTCCATACCGCTATAAGACTTGTCTGTCGTGCAATAAAGTGGGACATAAAAGTTCGCACTGTAGAACCAAGAAAGAAAACCAAGCCGAGTAAGAGTCACTAGAACTGACCAAGCGGACGGGATAAATATACGAAAATACGTACAAGTAGAAATGTTAAACAAAAAAATCAAATTACAATTAGATTCCGGATCAGATTTAACCATTATTAGTTTAGAGACGTGGAAGAAATTAAACAAACCGACTATGTTGAGAACAGATAAAATAGCCTGCTTGGTAACAGGAAGAAAAATCAAATTTGAGGGGGAGATTATCACAAATGTGACGTTCAACGGGATGACCAAGAAATTAAAGATGTATGTTCTAAAAAATACGGAAAATTTATTTGAAACTGACTGGATGCAGAAATTTGACCTCTGGGATTTGCCGATAAATACGTTCTGCAAAAAAGTGGAAAGGTTATCGACCGAGGCAGAGAAATTGAAGGAGAAATTAAAGGAGAGTTTCCCCGACGTATTTTCAGCCGGCCTTGGGAGGTGTAAAAAAATGACGGCCAAAATCGAACTAAAAGAAAATGTACAGCCCATTTTCAAGAAGAAAAGAAATGTACCTTTCGCATCATTAGAAAAGATAGACGGAGAGTTGAATAGACTCGTGAAAACCGGTATATTGACGAAGGTGGAATATAGTCAATGGGCCGCACCTACGGTTTACGTGAAAAAGAAATCGGGTGAGATACGAGTATGCGCTGATTTCTCGACGGGATTGAATCCAACGATTAAGGATTATCACTATCCTCTCCCTAGTCCAGAGGAAGTTTTCACAAAGCTGAACGGAGGAAAATCTTTCTCAAAAATAGATTTGAGCGAAGCATACCTACAAGTACCAGTAGATAATGAAAGCTCGAGGTTGTTGTGCATAAACACACATAAAGGATTATATAAGTTCCAGAGATTACCATTCGGGATCAAGGTCGCGCCGGCGATATTTCAGCAAATAATGGACACTATGCTAGGCGGACTGGATTTCACGATCGCATACCTTGATGACATCCTGATAAATAGCAAAAATATTGAACAACACTGGCAACACGTTCAAGAGGTTTTCAGGCAGATACAAAATTACGGTTTTAAAGTAAAGGAAAATAAATGTGACTTCTTTCTGAAGGAGATCAAATATCTGGGCCATATTATTAACGAAGAAGGAAGAAGACCAGACCCAGAAAGAGCCACGGCAATAAAAAAAAATAAAAAAAATGCCGGGTCCAAAAAATTTAGCCGAGTTACAAAGCTTCTTGGTCTTAGTAAATTGTTATCAAGAATTTATTCCTAACATGCACAAATTACGCGCACCCCTAAACGAACTGTTGAAGAAGGAGAAAGTTTGGGAATGGTCATATGAATGTCAGAAAACTTTCGACAAAATCATTAAGACTCTAACAGCAGATTTATTTTTAGCGCATTATGATCCAAAATTGGAAATAATAATCGCGAGTGACGCGAGTGCCTATGGTGTTGGGGCATGTATACTGCATAAAATACCGGATGTGACACTAAAACCCATCGCGCCTGCGTCAAGAACGTTACTACCAGTCGAACAAAATTATTCGCAAATCGAAAATGAAGCGCTGCGGATTATTTTTGCGATTACAAGCTTCCACAGATATATTTAAGGTAGATTTTTCACCTTGCAGACGGACCACAAGCCGTTACTAACAATATTTGGATCAAAGAAAGGTCTACCTGCCAGAAGTATTTCGTTGTAGAAAACCTACTTCTGAGAGGACAATAAATTGCCTGCACGAGCTATTTGCTCGTTTCGGAGTGGTTGATTGTTTAGTGATTGATAATGGCACACAATTTACATCTGCGGATTTTAAAGAATTTTGTGAAACTTTTCAGGTGAAACACATCAAATCTCCGCCATATCACCGAAGGTCGAACGGGCAAGCAGAGAAGTTTGTAGATACATTAAAAAGAGCACAAAGGCATTACAACAATTCTTGCAAGTGTATAGAATTACACCGAACAGTACTACGCCATCGGCATTATCGCCGGCGGAAGTAATGTTCGCCCGAAGAAGTAGATCAGCATTCGACAAATTACTGCCAAAATAGACAAAGCAATCACCAACGTCGTTTGTACCAAAAAGAAAATTTAGCCCAGGGGAGAAAGTTTTTTTAAAATGTTCAAAAACAACACATCCTATTGGGAGCCAGAATCGAGAAACGAATCGGGAACGTGATTTACATAATTCAGGGTCCGAAGTTCTCGCATAAAAGGCACTTAAATCAGATAAGAAAGAGGCTGTTAAAGGATTCTAACGGTCTACCTCAGGAAGAGGAGGAAGTAATGGACACAATATTTGACACACTCAATATGCAAAGGCCTCAAGAAATTTCAGAACCGCGGAAATCAAGCAGAAAAAGAAAATTTACAGAGCCTTTGATGATTAATCCGAAGAGGAAAAAATATTAAAGACCCCTGCGAGGTAAAAGCTTGGGAGGGGAGTGTCATGGGTCCTTACCTATAATTACAGAATGAACTCTTCCTAACACTGTGTATACTACGCCTCTCAAGAGAGAGGGATGAATCGAGCCGAACCGATAGTAGTTCACTCCAAACCAGACTGACAGTCATACTAACACCTTCCACAACTTGTATTATTATTTCGTGAAATATACCTTCGTTATTTCTACTCTTGTGTTTGTGTTGTTCTTCCTTGGTCCTAACCTGGACCATAACACTTAGATGTTACCCGTGTCAGTAGGACGTCGTTCTAACACAAGCGATATGGAGGGATACTTGCAACCAAAATTCGTTTCAAATGCAGAAAAATTAATTAAGATACTATTGAAATTCTTAGATTTGTATCGACAACTGAATTCATTTATTTTTTATTTATTGATTCAATCGTTTTTATGGCTTATCAAACATTTGCAGGTTATTTGAAACCAGAAAATATTTCTCGATTGTAAGAATTTTTAGGGAGATAATAATGATTTAGTGATATTGTTGTAAGTTAAGGAAGGCTACTGAATAGAATAGTCGCACGAAATTTGGCAATGAACGATTATACTTAGGACAAGAACAACACATATAAGATTCGCCAGCGGCGCGTAGAAGTAGTAGTCAACTGTTAGAAGTGAGTTAATTGAATTCCATAATGAATCTCCAGCTGCAGATCAACATACAGTATTTACTACTGTATTTATATGAATGGGGGCATACCTATCCGTAGGTATGCTAAAACAAATACAAATCTTACTAATTAACCCGTAGCTGGGGGAGAAATTGTGTATTCCTACCCTTCCCAAGAGTATCTGCTCGTAGGTGAATATAACGAATACAACGGGAAATGGAATTCGACTCTTTGATTAACAATTCCGAATCATTATTCATTGCACCACTCGCAAACCCAAGCTTACTACAACTGGTATTCCCAAGCGGTCTCCCGTCTAGATATCATCATCATCATCATCTTGCGGCCTCAGCCGAGATTGAACTCACTACACCTTTCCAGTATTCCTTATCTGTCATAGCTAATACTTTGATTGGTGTAGTTCATAATCTTGTCAAATAGCTGAATTCTTGATGCTTCGCTAGGGCTATCAAGGATGTTTTATCGTGACACCATCACTAAATGGATTACCAACCAAGACTCAGAGAGACTCCATTCACCCTCCTTTGAATTCAGAGTTTTCTTTCTCCTAGACCAGTTGCCATCCAAGGCTATAAAACCCAGTCTGTCCTGCTATTTACCCATAGCTGGAGAGAGAAGAGGATTCACACCTTTCCCAAGGGTATTAGCACGTAAGTGAATGTAATGGATTCGACTGGAATTCGAACTCGGCTCTCCGATTCATCAATCCAAGCCGCTATCCATTACTCCACCGTGCCTAGATACTATCCAGGCTCGATGTTGCTTAACTTCGGTGATCATACGGGAAAAGGTGTTTCAACGTGATATGGCTATAAACTGTCAAAGAGCAGAACAACATTCGATCTTATATGGTTAATCGGGTTTTACAGTCTCTGTATAAAAAAAAATCCTTTCAAAACATTTAGAGGGCATTTCTAGTTCTTCTTATCTTCCTGTCTTTATGGCACTTTTTCCTGTGTCTATTCGCTGAAATATGTCAAATGTTGCTTTCACATTTATTCAGCATTTTTTGTCTTGATGGGTCTTTTGAGTGTTGAATTCTAAAAGTCTTCTTTCCTCGTTATATGTCAGAACTATTTATTTTTAGATTTTAAATAATCATATGTATTTGGTATCTATCTATGCAGCTCAGCCTGTTCATATCTATCTAGCTATCAAGCTATTTCAGTTTGTTCATATCTATCTATCTATCTATCTATCTATCTATATCTCAGTCTGTTCATATCTATTTATCTATCTCAGGTTATTCATATCTATCTCGATTCGTTATGTATCTATCGAGCTAGCTAGCTTAGCTCAGCCTGTTCATATTCATCTAGCTAGCTATCACAGTCTGTTTATATCTATCTATCTATCTATCTATCTATCTATCTATCTATCTATGTTAGTCTGTTCATATCTATTTATCTATCTCAGGTTATACATATCTATCTCGATTCGTTATCTATCTATCTATCTAGCTAGCTAGCTAGCTAGCTCAGCCTGTTCATATTCATCTAGCGAGCTATCACAGTCTGTTCATATCTATCTATCTATCTATCTATCTATATCTATCTATCTATCTATCTAGCAAATAAATGTATTGACGTAATAATACTATTGGTAATACGGTTAGTAGATCCAGAAATGCGGTTAGTAGCAATAATAATATATATACAGTTTGGGAAATTCAGTATTGGTTATGACTTCCTTCTGAGTCTACGTGCTCGCAACTGTGACTCCTACAAAGCGGTTACCTCGTTTCTTACTCTCTCGCTGTATCACTGTATCACTCTGACTGTCACTCTCTATGACTGGCTCTCGGGTATTCACTGGCAGCAGTAGAAGTACACACTATGCGAGTTCACTTGTATAAAATGGGGTGGATCCCTTAACAATATCTATTTATCTATGTCAAGCTATTCATATCTATCTCGGTTCGTTATCTATCTATCTATCTATCTATCTATCTATCTATCTATCTATCTAACTAGCTAGCTAGCTCAGCCTGTTCATATTCATCTAGCTAGCTATAACAGTCTGTTCATATCTATCTATCTATCTATCTATCTATGTTAGTCTGTTCATATCTATTTATCTATCTCTGGTTATTTATATCTATCTCTGTTCGTTATCTATGTAGCTAGCTAGCTCAGCCTGTTCATATTCATCTAGCTATCTATCTATCACAGTCTGTTCCTATCTATCTATCTATCTATCTATCTATCTATCTATCTATCTATCTATCTATCTATCTCAGTCGCTTCATATCTATTTATCTTAGTCTGTTCATTTTTATCTCTTCGTTTCGTTATCTATCTATCTAGCTACATAAATTGCATATATTATATGCAGTTAAAAAATCACACGTTTCGTTGTAGAAATAGATACAAGACATCCATCTCTATCTATAAAAGGCAGGATGTGTGTGTGTGTGTGTGTGTGTGTGTGTGTGTGTGTGTGTGTGTGTGTGTGTGTAACGAATGCACAGCCGCAATTTTCGACGGATTTGCACTAAAATTTACATGCACATGCTCCAAGTTAGTGGGAAGGCCAAGACTGACTTTGCATTTCCCAACTCCCACCGATAGTGGAAATAATCGATTTTTTCATGTTTCTACGGCAGTTTTCATGTAGTTGGCTGCCATTTTCTACTGGCCAGAGTGAGAGCCTATAGCTGACTGCCAAGAATAGACAGGAAGATTCTATTGGCCAGCGTGAGAGCCAACAGCTGACTGACACGAATGTTAACTAGCATGCAAAAAAAAATCGATGGCTACATTCGTCACAAGCGGGAAAAATTTAAATCTGCATGGCACTTTACTCCAATTGGCTCATTTGCTTGCTTAAACTCAACGTTGATTCTGATTCCGCAGAACTGGGTTGGGTGTGAAAAAGTATTTCTTGTTAACATTCTGTTTTCATTCGGTTTTTCCAGTAACGAGTCCTTTTTTAAAGCTGATCGTTTTGTGTTCATTTTGTTTAGTCCTTTTTTCGTAACAGATTTAATGTTTAGTATAGAGCTTAGAAAAAATTCGCAGTGTGAGATAAGCAATAAGTAAGACATGTAGCAACATCAGACCGGCAAAGGGCACTCCTTTAAAGGCAAGGGAGGGCAAAAATATTTTAAGTCGAGTGATAGCGATTGCTGTATGAGTCGTACGATTTTTTAATCAAGCACGGGCAACGCCGGGCCATGCTGCTAGTTGTTTTATATATACGAAATGGGTTCTACTCTTTGACCAGTGTTTGAAATTTACAAGCTATATTTGTCGATATCATAATTATTGTTTTATCTCTTTCTGACATATCACATCAGCAATGAAATTTGCCTTTAAACAAAAAATACCAGTCTATTTTACGTTGATGCGCCTGAAGATGTCACTTCCTTTTCTCAGCGACTGAAATTCACACATTTGATATTTTTACTCGCTGGTTGGTATTAAATTGGATAAAGAGTATTGTGTAGAACTCTTTAGATAAGTAACATTTGAAGATATTAGGTGGGGGTTGCTTCTTTTTTTTTTTTTTTCTTCCTTTGTTGGAGTTTCAATTTGTTAATTTGTTTTTCGGTTTAATTTAAACGATATGTTAAAAGTGGATCAGACAAAAGAAAAATCTCCAAACAAAAGCGGATAAAAGAATGTAATTCTCCTCCCGTCAACCTGGGTTTGGTACTGTTAGTTTTTTTTTTTTTTCTTTTTCTTTTTCTTTTTCTCTTTCTCTCTCCTTCGCCTTTCTTTTTCACCCATTCATTTGTACGTATATCGGAAAGTGTTTAGACGCCCCTGTGTGTGCGCGCGTGTGTATCCTTTCTATAAACGTATCGATTTGCCAATCAATAAAATATTAAAAATAATTCTTTTTTTTTTTTTTTTTTTCGTTGGTGCTCTGTCTTTTGTTATGCGATCAATACGTACGCAAAGATATTTCTACTGGACCTTTTTATTTTCTGAAAACGATGAAACTGTTTTTTTTTTTTTTTTAAATGTTTTGACTGATGTTCGCTTTTATGTGCGTGCTGTGATGGTGATTAGACGTTATCCGTATCTCTCAGTAGGACATCGTTCGAACACAAGTGACAGGTAGGGACACTTGCAAACAAAACTCGTTTCAAAAATGAAAAAAAAAAAAAAAAAAATTAAAAAAATAAAAATAAATGAAAAATTAAAACACTATAGAAACTCTTAGATTTGTATCGACAACTGAAATCATTCTGTTTTTTTTTTCTTATTGAGTGATTCATTTTTATCAACTCTTTGTAGGTAATTTGAAAGTAGAAAATAGTTTTAGAGTGTAAGAATTTTTTTGGAGATAATAATGTTTCAGTGATCCAAATCTTACTAATTAACCCATAACTGGGGGAGAAGGTGTGGATTCCTTATTCCCAAGGGTATTCGTGCCTAAGTGTAATATAACGAACCAAACTGGAATTGGAACTCAGTTCTTCGATTAACCCATTACCTGCCAAGAGCCCCATTTGGGTATCTGTTAAAATGAAACTCACTACATGTTATTCCTTGTATTTACATTGAATTGCTTACATACATTGTATTTGCAGAGGTATATTTTACAACAATTAGCCTTTAAAGTTTTTATTATTAGCCGTAAGAAGACACATTCTGTCGTAATTTTACATTTCACGAGTAGAAAAATAATGACTATTTTGAAAAGTATTTTTTTATTATTTCTAATCAATATTATTTTTTGATGTTTTATACACATATATATTTGATGTTCTAGTTTCTATAAAAACGACAAAAACTACTGAAATTAAACACAAGGAATAAATAAACTCCTAAGACACCTGTCTGGGCCAAAAAATGCGCATAAAAAAGTTTTGTCAGTTAATGGGTTACGAATTCACCATTGTTATACATTACACCGTCCGCAAACACAAACTTACAGGATTTGGTATTCCGCAAGTGCTCACTTATCTAGCCACTGACCACGCTCGACCTTGCTCCTATGGGAACCGGTTCTTTAACGTGATGTGGTCGTAAGCATCGTTCTATGGGTTACTGATATTTTTATCAGGGTATATAGCCCGTGAAAGAGAAAGTTGCATCCCCTTTTGCAGATGAAGACTGTGAATAAAAAAGAAAAAAAAATAATGTAAACACCGGCATGTTTCAGTCCCAGCAAAAAAGAAACTGTACTCAATTTCCAACGGTGGTAGGTTGTGACAGAAGGTCAGTTTAAGGTCTCAGTGACCACTGTCAGACTCGCGTCGGCATCTGCCAAATTTCTCTAATGCAACGAGGAAGGTGCGACCGTAAGTTCCGAAATTTCGAAACAAGTTTCCCTCATAATGCCAAGACGAAAATATAACAGATGCTACACTTTGCTCCTATCGCCAACTGCAGGAAGTAGAGAACTGAGGGACACGTTACCCACCCACTAAAGACGGCAGGATATGACACAAGGTCGATTTAAACCAGGTGCAGGACATACAGGCCAAGAACAAAAACTGCCAAGTCCCAGCGAACACTGTTAAACTGGTGATGGTATCCACCGACCGTCTTTTGTTCGTCCAATGAGGAAGGCTTTGACGCAGATTTGGGATAACCCGAGCCGGACTTCCCTCAAATTTAAGAGAAAGATAGGGTACTTTGATACGGTTTTTACACCCGCCGGCAGTAGCGGGAATTGACATCAAGTCGGTTAAATTTTTGGTGCACAGACACAGAGGCTAAGAACTAAAAATGTTCAGTTCCTGGGACCACTATCACACTGGCGTTCGTATTGATATACCTTTCCTGTTTCGTGAATTGAGGGAGATACAGCCACAGAGTTGGCATCCTCTAGAAACGCAGTTCCCTCACATGAGGAAGAGAGAACAGATGCTACACTTTGGTTCCCAGACCGAAGGTTGGGTAAAGGATAACTAATGAGATTATATATCTCACGGTTACCGATGTAAGACCGATAATCCTAACCTATGCATGGGTTTTCTGTTCAATTCCTCGTCCGTCTACTAAGCGACGAACACACAGCATTAAAATCCACATTAGCCTGGCCCATGAATCACGCATAATGATTCATTGCAAATATGCGTTTTTTTTAAAACTGCATATATATACGGTTTATGTACGTTTTTACATTGGGATTATTACACATCACATTTCATTGCTAAACTGAGGTCATAGGACGATAGAAATAATTATAATACCGACCAATATAGCTTGTAAATTTTGAATATTGGTCAAAGAGTGGAACCCATTACGTATATATAAACAATGGATGTCTTCTACCTATATGTACTCCGAAGCATGCGATTTTTTAACTGCATATACTATGTACGTTTTATATTTTGATTATCGTCCCCATCTTTGTTGTTTGAACATTCATGCCATGACTTCATTTATAGAAGTTCAATTTCATTAGTTTATTGCTGAATTTTTCAATTACTCACTCGTGTTAAAAGTCATTGTTATACAACTAACGAATGCGATATAATGAAAAGCAAAACAGTGAACTAAAATACGTATGACAAACACCGTCACGATGATGTGGCGTGTGACTGTGTGGGAACCATTACTAGGAATGCCAAGAAGCCATTTTTATGGACCTGTATTTCTAATTTGGCCTTTAAAAAATTCGCCTTATTGTGAGCGGAGGGAACGGAAGAGTCACGTGGATTTGGGATAAAATTTTTTAAAATTAGCATTTAATTCCTTAGATTCAAAATCTAGCTGCATACACCCCCCCAAAAAAAATTGGTGGGGAAATACTACAGTGACTCACGGACCTCCCAGCTGGGTTGGAAAGTTTTGCTTGCCACTCCCTCGCAAATTTATAAAAGAAAATCTGCTGGTAGGCCATATCACTTGTATTAAATGATGGGGCTTAGACTATTGGTCCAAGGCATGCACTTGTGAACCATTGGCTAATGGGCAAGTGTAAAAATTGACGATATTCAGTCACCCCCCCACGAGGGTGTCATGTGGCACAAGGCCTTTTTAACGTGGGCATTCCGAGCCCGTGGGCTCGGCCAAAAATATGCCCGTTTGAACCCGTATAAACGGGTTCAGGGCCGGTTTTACTTCCCCGAAGGAGACTCCGCCTTTCGGCGTATCCTCCTTCGGGTTCCTCCCGCCCGTAGGAAGACAGTTTAACCGAGCAGTCGGTTCAGACATTGGCTGAAACAAAATGCCAATCTACTTAGAGTTTTTGAATATTCTTCGCGGTTGTTGATATGCGAAGGCACCCACAACGTTCATCATCTTCACCATGCCCTCAACCTTCCGAAGTGTGCCACTTGAAAACATGTGCGACGTGCAGTCTTCTCGACTCACTTCAGTGAACATGTTAAAAGATGTTTTCTTTAATTTCGCTAAACATTTCAAATTGATGCGTTACTCGATTTTTTGTTTCTTTTGAACTAAACATTTTTTTATGACATGTAAAAAAAATGGCATGTCTGGTTCAAGCAATGCATAATAATGAACTACTACTCTTTGTAACCTCGCCTTCTTTTACTCAGAGGCGACAGGCTGTTTCATGCTAAACGCAGTCACCAGGCGGCGTAACGATTGCGTCTAGCATGAAACAGTATGTCGCATCTGAGTGCTGACATCAATGTCCACTTATTTATATTTATATATATATATATATATATATATATATATATATCCAATTACATTCTTTTTCGCATGGCCTCACTCCCAGTAAACTGTTACACATGATGTCACCTTCGTACTCGCTCGGAGTAGGCAAATATTGACTGTTTATTTTGGAGTCGATAAGTATTCACTTGGTTTTGTGGATAGGTAAATATTGTTTTTTTTCATATTTGTGCCGATAAGTATTTACTTGGTACGGGTATTGATAAATATTGATAGTTTTGAGTTCTTAGTTTGGGTATTTTGGGTAAGTATTGATCGTTTATATTTGACTCTATAAGCATGTTCTTAGTTCAAGAGAGAGAGAGAGAGAGAGAGAGAGAGAGAGACCATTGGATCTTTTGAGTCTATCCGAATTTATTGGGTCCAAGTATTTAGTCGCTTTATTTAATTTATGTTTCGGGAAATAGATAAATGCTAACCATTTATATTTGGACTGATAAGCATGCACCCCCCTACCAGTGTGGCAGTGAGTGTTGGACAACTTTCTCAGACAGAAATGTCGTTCTATAGAAGGATGGTGAGGGGTGCCATGTTCCGAGCACGTGAGCAACGACAACGTTTTAGTTTAGAATAGAAACAACAACGAAACTTATACTTAACATTAGGAGGAGGCAGTTGACATCTCTAGAGTACATAATGAGGAAAGAAGGTTTGGAAAATTTGATACTCTCAGGACCGACTGAAGACAAGAGGGACAGAGCAAAACGATGCATAACTTACCTCGAGAGCTTGAGTAAATGGGTTGCAGAACAAGAAGAAGAGATGACAAAAAGATAAAATTTATTCAGAGCTACAAAAAAAAAAAGAAAAACGGGAGATTGTGGAGAAACATGAACGTCAACCTCCTGAAGGGACACAGCACATAGAAGAAGAAGAAGAAGAAGAAGGAGGAGGAGGAGGAGGGGAAGAAGAAGAAGGAGGAGGAGGAGGAGGGGAAGAAGAAGAAGGAGAATGAGGAGGAGGGGAAGAAGAAGAAAAAGGAGGAGAAGAAGAAGAAGAAGAAGGTGGAGAAGAAGAAGAAGAAGAAGAAGAAGGAAGAAGAAGAAGGTTGAGGAGGAGGAGAAGAAGAAGAAGAAGAAGGAGGAAGGGGAAGAAGAAAAGGTAGAGGAGAAGAAGAAGAAGAAGAAGGAAGAAGAAGAAGCAGAGGAGGAAGGAGGAGGAGGGGAAGAAGAAGCAGAGGAAGGAGGAGGAGGAGGGGAAGAAGAAGATGGAGAAGAAGAAGAAGAAGGAGGAGGAGGGGAAGAAGAAGAAGGTGGAGGAGGAGAAGAAGAAGAAGAAGAAGGAGGAGGAGGAGAAGAAGAAGAAGAAGAAGAAGAAGTAGGAGGAGGAGGAGGGGGAGAAGAAGAAGACGAAGAAGAAGATAAGAAGGAGGAGGAGGAGGAGGGTGAGAGGGAAAAGAAGAAGAAGAAGAAAGTATATATTTCTTTAACGTATATGCCACACAAATCCTTGTCTTTTCTCTTTCTTCAAAAATTATGTCACTATGCCATCTCCGCCAAGTATCAACCTCCTCAGAGATGAAGAATAGACTTGAAGCAACAGAAATCTGTTTCTACAGAAGGATATTGAGGATACTATGGACCTAACACGACTAAGTTTTAAAGAAAATAGAAACAAAAAGGAAACATAATTAACACAATTAGGAAGGTGGCTTGGAAAATCTGATACTCACAGGACACTTTTCATACGTAGTGAGCTTGAGTAAATGAATGGCGAGACAGGGTTCAGGAGAAATAACAAAATTTATTAAGAGCTGCAAAGGGCAGGAAATTGTGGAGAGCCATGATCGTCTACGTCCTGAAGGAAGACGGCCCATGAAGTAGATAAAAAGCAGGTCCTCTAAAAACATGTCTAATTGGAACTAATATCTTAATAACATAAGATATGCAGACGGCACAGTGTTGATATCATCCACGGAAAGAAAGCTACAAACAAAACTCCTATCGAAGGCAGTGAAGATTAGCGAGAAGAAAAGATTTAATATCAACTGCAAGAAGAGAGAACGCACGAATGTTAGCAAAAGGATTGAAAGGAAAATGTTTGAATTGCAAATCAGATATACTAAAATCAAACAAGTGTGGAAATTTAAATATCTCTGGAAGTGTTTTAACAGAGGATGGAAAGTGTGGCACTGAAATCCGAAGGCGTATTAGGATATCCAAAGATGCCTTCCAAAAGCTAAGCGGAAAACTAAGAAATAGAAAAACTTCAAAATTTCTTTCTTAATCCATATTTAAAAGGATTTTTTATTTGGATGAACAGTGGAAATTATATTTGCGACGATGTTGACCCTTGTCTTTAGGGTTTTCGATGTCGATTCTTATCTTTGGGATTTTCGTTAAATATTTAGGGCAGCCGAAAAAGAGTTTCCTGTATTACTCTTGTTTTAAAATTTTTGTTTTCCACACACACACACACACAGAAACAACCAACCTCGAAATTAATAAATATAACTCGATATGAGTTGTCCCCCTTCCATTCTCGTGACAGCGAAGCCTCTTAATCGTGTTTTCAAATTGATTTTGTGCAAAAACAATTGTGTTTTTCCAATTTTTGGCACTGTCAGAACCACTGCAAGGTAATTTTACGCAGTCCTGTGAAGTTTTGTTGAAATCGGTTGAAAAATGTAGGAAATCCGATCCAATATATAAACGTACAAGCACACACACACAAAAATCTGCATTTTATAAGTAAGATTCTATCTATCTATCTGTCTGGCTATATATCTGATTATAACTCTGACTTTTAAGGGTTTTTTTATGTTTAGTTTAATAACTGATTTTTTTTTGTCTGTTTGGGATTTTGTCTATGTACACGCCCTGGTAAGCAGATGTCTGCGTATTGGATTTGTGAGATGTGAGTGAGTGTGTCTGTGGCAAGATATATTAAGAAAGGCGTTACAAATAACGAATTAATGCTGAATCGTATTGTAAACTCTCCTCTCGGTCCTGATCGCCATAGAAATGCATCTTAAATATCGCCAGGCAATAATTGTAAATGCGGGAGACAGCTGCCGCCTTCTTAGGTCCACTGAAATGATATTTACTAAATTAAGGCCAAGTTTGCGTCAAGGGATTGTGTTACATCAGCTTTCCAAATGGGGGAGGGTCTGCCTATGTGGAAGCAAAAAAAAGAAAATAAAAACAGCAGTCGAAGTATTGTCTTTTACGTAGATTTGAACACTGACCTCTGAGCCTCTGAACAGGAAAAAAACAACTGGGAATTATTTAAGGCCACAGCTCAGGTTCCTGATTCACTGAATTTACACACACTCACGGCGCGATACATAAATATATGTATAATCTAACATGTCCTTTTTTTCTTTCTTTCTTTCTTTCTTTCTTTTTTTATTTATTTATTTCCGTCTCTTCCCATCTTTCTTTTATTCTTTCTTTCTTTCTTATACAATTTTTGTCTAACCCAACTTTCTTTCTTTTCTTTCTTTCTTTCTTTATTTCTTTATTTTCCCATCTTTCTTTCTTTCTTTTTTCTTTCCATCTATCCATCTTTCTTTCTTTCCATCTTTCTTTTTTTCTGTCTGTCTGTTCTAACCCAACTTTCTTTCTTTCTTTCTCTTCCCATCTTTCTTTCTTTCTTTCTTTCTTTCTTTCTTTCTTTCTTTTCCCATCTTTTTTTCTTTCTTTCCATCTTTCTTTCTTTCTGTCTGTCTGTCCTAACCCAACTTTCTTTCTTTTCTTTCTTTCTCTTCCCACCTTTCTTTCTTTCTTTCTTTCTTTCTTTCCATCTTTCTTTCTTTCCATCTTTCTTTCTTTCCATCTTTCTTTCTTTCTTTCTTTCTGTCTTCGTAAATAAATTCTTTCTTTCTTTCTTTCTTTCTTTCTTTTTTTCTTTCTTTCTTTTCTTTCTCTTCCCATCTTTCTTTTTTTTTTTCTTTTCTTTCTTTTTATTTTCTTTCTTTCTTTCTCAATCTTTCTTTCTTTTTCTTTTTTTCTTTCTTTCTTTTTCTTTCTTTTTCTTTTTTCTTTCTTTCTTTCTTTTCTTTTCTTTTATAATTTTCTTTCTTTCTTTCTTTCTTTTTTTCCATCTTATCCATCTTTCTTTCTTTTTTCTTTTTTTTTCTCTGTCTTTCTTTATTTCCATATTTTTTTTTTCTGTCTTTTTGTTTTTTTTCTAAAAGAATCTTTCTTTCTTTTTTTCTTTTTTTTTTTTCTTTCTTTCTTTTTTTTTCATTATCTTTCGTTCTTTCCTTCTTCCTTTCTTTCTTTTCCCATTTTTCTTTCTTTCTTTCCATCTTTCTTTCTTTCTGTCTGTCTGTCCTAACCCAACTTTGTTTCTTTCTTTCTCTTCCCATCTTTCTTTCTTCATTATCTTTCGTTCTTTCTTTCTTTCTTTCTCTTCCCACCTTTGTTTCTTTCTTTCCATCTTTCTTTCTTTCTGTCTGTCTGTCTGTCGTAACCTAACTTTCTTTCTTTCTTTCTTTCTTTTTTTCTTTCTTTCTCTTCCCATCTTTCTTTCTTTCTTTCTTTCTTTCTTTCTTTCTTTCTTTATTTCTTTCTTTCTTTCTTTCTTTCTTTTCCCATCTTTCTTTCTTTCTTTCTTTCTTTCCATCTTTCTTTTTTCTTTCTTTCTTTTTCATTATCTTTCGTTCTTTCTTTCTTTCTTTCTTTCTTTCTTTCTTTCTTTCCATCTTTCTTTCTTTCTGTCTGTCTGTCTGTCGTAACCCAACTTTCTTTCTTTCTTTCTTTCTCTTCCCATCTTTCTTTCTTTCTTTATTTATTTCCGTCTCTTCCCATCTTTCTTTCTTTCTTTCTTTCTTTCTTTTTTCATTATTTTTCGTTCCTTCTTTCTTTCTTTCTTTCTCTTCCCATTTTTCCTTCTTTCTTTCCATCTTTCTTTTCCCATCTTTCTTTCTTTCTTACCTTTTCCTTCCTTTCTTTCTTTTACTCACTCTTTAACATTCTTGAGTTTTATTTTCCTCTATTTCAACCAGCCCTTGCTTTTTTTCTGCTTCTTCCATTTTTGCGTTTGTTCGTAAGTATCTAATACACAGATCTGCCCAAGTGTGTGTCATTTAATTGAGCAGAAGTGAGTGAGTGCTTAAGTACGTTGATATGCTCCTAGAATTACACCTCCGCCCCCCCCACACACTCCCCGACTCGAAATACAAGTGTCTGTGCGGAGTTTCCCAGTTTCCAAGAAAATGTTTCACACACAAAAACGATTTGTTTTCCATCTGTTGCCTCGTATATAATTTGTCTCAGCTTTTTGTTTTTTTGTCTTTTTTTTTATTAAGTGTTTAACTTTGGCGACTAAAAGACTTCAGAAATTGTTTTATTTAGAAATGAACAACAGAAACCAAATCAAAATCAAAACTCTCTCTATTGCTAAGAGGTCGAGAAGAACAATTACACGAATATAAACATTAAATTCAACAGCAGTATTAATCTTCTCTTCTGAATGGACGTTACCATGAATATATTTGTAGAAAAGACAGAGGGAAGAAAGTGATTGAAGTCAAGATGCCAAGTTACATTGGATATCTTTCTTTGGATTTTGTCAAGAACCTCGCAGGACCGCCAGAAGAGATATGGCAACAGTATTCAATGCAATGAATTGGTAAATACTCTCATCAGAGGCCATCTTAGATATTTACTAATGTATCATGCTTTGAATGCTATATTAGTAAATATGTAAGCAAATATATGGATATAGATCCGACAGTATGAAGAAAAATACAGAAAAAAGAAACAAAAATCTTAATATGCAATTATGCTGTATTAATGTTAATATAAAGTCGACGTCGGACGTTTCGGTCTATTTAAGACCATCTTCATGGACATTTTCATTTAAACATAATTAACATTAGAACATATAAAAATTTAACACAAAAGACGATGGACATAAGAAATCATTCAAATACGTTTTCACAACATCGCCCACGTGACGACGATGTGATCATATTTAAACGGAACGCTGATCTTATATAAAAATTTCAGTTATCTGTTTGGATTAGTTGTGCTCTTATAAATTCTCTTCTGAAAAGTTCCGATATAAATTAATTATTTAATATTAATTAATATTAATTAACTTTATGAATATTACTTAACTATCAATTAATTTTTAAAAAGGGAATACAGTTACTGCGTGTATTGCTGCTGCTAGATCTCATGCCATAAAGTCGTCGAGCCCACGAAAAGCCACTTTGTATCTCCAGGTTTTACGGTCTTGTCAGAGCATTGGAAATTCCTCCAACGCGATATTAATCTGCTGGCGGCCCTGACGGACGACGTACTTCCAGCGGCTGAGTATTCGGCCGCGAGAACGACGCCAGTTTGCAGATGGCGGTCGAACTGGTACTTGACTCTAATAGGATGATCATCGCAGCACGTGACCGATTCAGCGAACCCGGCGGTAATCGATAGTGAGAAAGATGCTCGGCTCGCCGGTCGTCCTGCCTGATTGCACATAAATTCATTCCGTCGATGGTCGTATGGATGTGGGACACGAAGCCATGGGCGTAAGAGACGAGTGGCTTGCTGCGTTTACGTGAATGTAAATGTATTGATGTTTTACTATGGAGGTGTATTGAAAATTAGGAAAAAAAAAAAAGAAGATTTTCACCGGTGACTAATTGAGAATTGCTGTGAGAATCGGGGTATTATATATATCATGTAAAATTAGTGTTTATAATTTTCCTATAGAAATGCATTAAAAGATTTTCATTATAAGTTTGAATAATTAAAATTAAGCAATCAGAAATCATCCAACTCGGCCTTTGAACAAGAATTTTGTAGAGATTTCTTGACATGTTTCCAGTTTTGGTCTTTTCAGCAGGAGTAGAGGATTATTCCCTGTTTCCTGTTTAGGTTTCCGCATCTTTCTAAAGTCTACTTTAGATATATACTTCTAATATGTCCACTGTCTGGATCAGAGCCCTTCCTGCTCTTTTGAACAGAAGTAGAGGTTTATCCCCTGTTTCCCGTTTAGGATTGAGTTTCCGCTTCCTTCTAAAGTCTACTTCAGATATATACATCCAATATCTCCACTCTCTGGATCAGAATCCTTCCTGCTTTTTTTGAACACAAATAGTGGTTTATTATTTGTTTCCTGTTTAGGATTGGGTTCCTGCTTCTTTCTAAAGTCTGCTTCAGATATATACATCTAATATCTCCAAATTTCTGGATCAGAATCCTTCCTGCTCTTTTGAACAATAAGAAGTATATCCCTTGTTTCCTGTTTAGGATTGGGTTTCGCTTCTTTCTAAAGTCTACTGCAGATATATACATCTAATATCTCCACTCTCTGGATCAGAATCCTTCCTGCTCTTTTGAACAGGAGTAGTGGTTTTATCCCTTGTTTCCTGTTTAGGATTGGGTTTCGCTTCCTCCAAAGTCTACTTCATATATACATCTAATATCTCCACTCTCTGGATCAGAATCCTTCCTGCTCTTTTGAACAGGAGTAGATTTTTTATAGTTTTTGTTTCTTTTTTAGGATTGGGTTTCCGCTTCTTTCTAAAGTCTACTTCAGATATATACATCTAATATCTCCACTCTCTGGATCAGAATCCTTCCTGCTCTTTTGAACAGGAGTAGATGTTTATCCCTTGTTTCCTGTTTAGGATTGGGTTTCGCTTCTTTTTAAAAGTCTACTTCAGATATATACATCTAATATCTCCACTCTCTGGATCAGAATCCTTCCTGCTCTTTTGAACAGGAGTAGATGTTTATCCATTGTTTCCTGTTTAGGATTGGGTTTCCGCTTCTTTCTAAAGTCTACTTCAGATATATACATCTAATATCTCCACTCTCTGGATCAGAATCCTTCCTGCTCTTTTGAACAGGAGTAGTGGTTTATCCCTTGTTTCCTTTTTAGGATTGGGTTTCCGCTTCTTTCTAAAGTCTACTTCAGATATATACATCTAATATCTCCACTCTCTGGATCAGAATCCTTCCTGCTCTTTTGAACAGGAGTAGATGTTTATCCCTTGTTTCCTGTTTAGGATTGGGTTTCCGCTTCTTTCTAAAGTCTACTTCAGATATATACATCTAATATCTCCACTCTCTGGATCAGAATCCTTCCTGCTCTTTTGAACAGGAGTAGATGTTTATCCCTTTTTTCGTGTTTAGGATTGTCTTTCCGCTCTTTCCTAAATTCTACTTCAACATTATACTTGCTTTTCACATCTCACATTTGAGAGTTTAGAATTCCTGCAGGAGTTGGATGCGATACATGACATCCATGTGAGAGTTTTAATCTGCCGAGCCTATGAAAGGACTCAAGTTCTTAGGTTAATGTTTTCGTTTTCGTACCATCTTGCGATGACCTCTCGCGCAGCCTACTCTCTGTTGAATTTCTTCATGTCCTGTACTAAATTTTTAATAACTGACCAATACACCGTGTTATCTGAAGTGCTTATGATTTATTAATTCCTCATCCTGAGTATTTATAAAGGATTCAGATTATATGCCATTCCAATTCCAGATGATTGTTTCTGTTTTGGAAAGATTTGAATTCTATTAAGTTCTTATTGACTTGGTGCATAATTATCAGGCGTTTTTGTAGGCAAGTTTACTTTTTTTTTTTAATAAAAATATTATTTATTTTCAGTTTATAAGAATGCGTGTCGATAATCATACGCTCCGGAATAATCATTTGAATTGTTATTTTTTTTTTTTTTTTTAATAATAAACATTGTTTAAAAACGCCTGATAATTATGCATCAACCCAATATATATGTTTTTCGTTTATTGCTGATGCTCTGCGAATGATCTCGAATAATAATCTTTCATGACATGTCCTGCTTCTTAATTAATAACTTTCATTCTTTGAAATTGTTGTCTAACGTTATTCAAATTTCATTTCAGAATAGACACCACTTTGACAGGCTTTGTACAGGGTGAACATCATTGTACAAAAAATCTTCATTCCTACTCTTACATTCATATGACACGCTTCATTTGGTAAGCCTCTAATATGGGTGGCCCTACAGCCGAAGATTTTGAGAAGCAAGATACCGATTGACCCGTCAGCTGAAGAGCTTAAGTTTCAGGAAATTTCCCAAGAAGCACCCCCGCGGGATTCTGTTCCACAGAGTAGCAATTCTTGGGAGGAAACTGCCTAAGTGAAATGTTCTTTATACATTTAGAATACGGGAGAAAAGTGGGTGATTCGTGTCCGTGGAAGTAACATGGCGTATTCAAGCTGTCAATGAGTAACAGAGTCGCGATAGGCTTGTGACGTTGCTTTGGTTTGGTTTATTTTGTTTTATGGCATATCGTCTTCAATCTGTTATTACGTATTTTTAAGATAGTTTTGTATGAATAAATTATGTATTCGTTGTTAGAAATCAGTTTATAGATCAGATTTCACGGACGTATTTTTGTAAAGAGGTTTATTGCCTCTTACTCTGTACTCTATCTCGAGTGGCGCTTTGGTGAATATTAGAAAAAACAAACTCTTTGGCTATTCAGTCTAAGACGCTGCGTACACAATTTTTGATGATTTGGCACTGATGATCCGATGGGGAAGTCTACCGATCTGGTTTCGTGCCAAGCTATTTCTCCTAACTTCACCTATGTTGTAGAGTAGTTTTCACAGTGGAGGCTTCTATTTCACTAAGTCGGTCCTAAATTAGGTTCGACGTTCAAAACGTTAGGAACTTGCAATAATAGTTAATGACGCAGCAATCTAGTTGTGGGGCTCATACTTTAATGTCCAACATCGACAACTCACACAACTCACTCTGAACTCCACTGGCAACTGATACTACTACTACTACTACTACTACTTATTATCTATGGGAGAGTCTATTTACAATAGAAATAGGTACGTTCCGGTATAACAACCTAATTCGTTCTTAAATATATTTACTTTTTTTCAAACAATTATATATATATATATATATATATATATATATATATATATATATATATATATATATAGTCTTTTTTACAGGTGGCGCAACGTCACAACCGGCAGCAAGGCCTCTAATGAGGAGGTTTTGAGGAGCGTGAAACCACCTCTTAATTGCTGTTGTGTCCAGGTCCACACTGAACGTGGGTGGTAGTACCTGTTAGGGTCCCAGCTATGGGCAAATAGTTAAACACCAAACTGGGATCAAATTTTATAGTAAAAATCGCAGTGATACTTTTAAAAAAAAAATTACCGGCAATATATTAAAAAAAAAAAACATTAGTAGCAATACATTTGACTCTCAACAAAAACCTCTTTACAAAAATACGTCCATGAAACCTGATCTATAATTTGATTTCTTACAAGGAATACATATTCTATTCATACAAACCTATTGAGATAGATATGCCATAAAACAAAGCAAATCAAAACAAACCTAAGCAACGTCTCGAGCCCATCGCGACACTTTTACTAATTGACAGCTTGAATACGCCATGTTACTTCCACGGACACGAATCCCCTTCTTTTCCCCCGTATTCCAAATGTATGAAGAAAATTCCGCTTAAGCAGTTTCCTCCCAAGAATTGCTACTCTGTGGGACAGGTACCCGCGGGGATGCTTCCTGGAAATTTTCCTGAAACTTAAGCTCTTCAAGTTACGGGTTAATCACTATCTCCCCTCTTTATTCGCATAATCTTCATCTCCTACCAACTCCCCTTTCGGTGTACGGCCATATCACGTTGAAACACCGGTTTTCATAAGATCACCTAAGTTAAGCAACGTCGTACCTGGTCAGTACCTAGATGGATGACCGCTGGGGAAAATCAGGTGCTGTAAACTTGGGTGTACGGGTAGTGTAATGGAGAACGGTTCGGAATTCATTCATCGGAAAACCGAGTTCCAATTCTGGTTGGGATTGTTATATTCACTTACTCACCAACTCTTCCCGCCATCAGCTATGAGTTAATTAGTAAGACTTAAATCACTAAATCATTATTGTCTAAAAATTTTTTTTTACAAACTAAATATATTTTCTGGCTTTAAATAACCTGCAAATTGTCGATAAGCCTTAATAAACGAATCAATCAACTCCTCTTTCATTCATATCACAGACCTCATTCACTTTATTCATTTTATTACTAACCCCTACCTTGAATGACTCTCGAGTCATATATTCGATGGAGTTTAATGTATATAATAGCTATATTTTGTAAGTTTCGTTTGCATTAATTCCTTAGTGCTCTTATGGACGAAGTTAAATATTCCGGATAAACGGTCTGTGGTTCGACCTCCAAACTTCCGGCTTCTTTTTTTTTTTATTTAGACCAAATAAAATCGTTCGACAGCCGATAAATATGATTGCCTTATATAATTCCTTATTCCCAGCAGATGAGGTTTATAGCAGGTCAGATAACCAGCCATTCCTTCCGATCTAAGCGGAGACGCCATTTTTTTTTCTCTTGTTCTAAAAACCCAACCCATGGCAGGGAAATGCAACGTAGACAGGTAGGAGTACAATTGAACGTCGCGTCTAGAAGTTTCTGCGTCCAATTTATTTTTTTCCTTTTTCTTTTTTCTTTCTATCTCTTCCTTTTTTTTTTTATTTTCGAGTTATTCTTGTTACGGTTCGAAGCACGTTAGGATGGTCTTCGCCAGAAGATTGGCATCGCGTCTCAGGCGGCCATCATAATGGCGTTCAGCGAATGAAACGCGCGATGCTGAGATATGATAGAATGCGGACACAGAGAGCGAGAGGAAAGTGGGGGGAAGACGAACGAGATTTCAAGGCGAAGACGTAGGCAAGCGGGGGAAAAAAAAAACACGCGGCGCATGCACAAAATCTATGCAAATATATACATATGGTTGCAATGCGGTATAAACTGATCAGTTCCGAGCAATGCATACAAGCAAGGGAATGAGAGACGTGTCTGTCTCTGTATGCTTTTATATGAGCATATCTATATAGACATAAATGCATGTGCTTATAGATATGCACATTTAATTCCATGTATGTGTTCTGTCCGGAAAATATCCAGCCATTTTTATTATTTTATATATATATATATATATATATATATATATATATATATATATAAAAAGAGGGGTGAGAGAAAAGAGAGAAAAGGCCTACCTAGGGCAACTGTGAGCTATCCCACTTCAAAGTACTGTATTTGACGGCATATAAAGCGCATTTCTTTGACTAAAAATATCTTTTGAAATTCCCTTGCGTCTTATATTCCATATGTAGGTTTAAAATTCGTGATAGTCGGCCGAAATCAGCTCCCTGGCAACTCCTATTATATTAGACTTTAGAGTACCTTTCATATACCTATTGTCATTATTTAAAAGGCTATTAGGCAGATTAAAAGTGTTATCATTGATAATATTCATTATATTAATTTCATCACGTTTAATATTTGTTTCATTAAAATTATATGCAATAAATTCAAATTATATATTTGTAACATATAGTTGTTTCATTCATCTTTTTCTTGCGATAACTTCTGGCTGCACTCGCATAAATACAATAGGAATTTTTATATCCTAATTATTCCAATAAGACTTTTACAAGACGCAGGTTGTTGTACAAATCATATAAAGGAGATAATGAAGATTTTTTATAGGCCCGTATTCTTTATTTTCTATTATTTTTCGTTTAATTGTAATCATGGCTTGTTTAACTGAAATAATACCCTATAAATATAGCCTAGGCTGTACCATTTACTAATAATTTTATTAGTTTTACTAATGACTGATATTTCATGATTTGCTCTGTTGAAATTGGGCCGCGTCTTATACACCTGTGCGTTTTATATGCCGTCAAATATGGTAATTCCTTTAAAATGGAATTTATAGTAGGTCAGATAGCCTTTACTATATTACTAGTATATTCCCTGTTCAATTGTGTAGTTAACTTCAGTTTTAAGTATTAACGTTAACTATAAGCAGTAACTAACTACAACTATGTCTAAATCATTTTTTTTTTCACATTCTAATGAACGCTCGGCATACTGTCAACTGTTTTGCATTTAAATGTATAATAAAAAATTTATGGTAATGTATAACAACGCACATCTTTTTATATATACTTGTACTAATGAACAGCATATAGTTTTGTATTACTTGCACCCCCCTGAAGATAATGTTGGAAGAAGATCAAAATGGAAATAAAAATAAAAGAAATTTAAACAGCTATCGCACATTTCTCTCATCCTTTAACATCAATCCACAGAAGAATATCCGTGAGCGCCTATTTTTTAGCCATTTTCATTCTTTTACTCACTATCAGATCTTTACTTTCAATTTTCCAAAACTGTCTGCAAAATCCATTTTAGAAAAGCGCCATCATGTGCCTCGTATCGTTCGCCTTAATCTCACCCACGGTATTTCAACAGTGATTTTAGCTTTAGGAAAAGCCATAAGTCGAGTGAGACAAAGATGAATAGCATGTCTGTGTGTGTTGATTACAGCCATGAGGTTATGCGATGTCCTCGCTCCTACCATTACCCAAAATAAAGCAAAACAAAATGACTGCGCTAAAATCGTCTCGCTTAGCTATTGGGGATACGTCAGCTACACAATATACAAGATCATTCATCTGAAAGGTGGCTGTGTAGAG